AATTAGTGCACTCAAGGATAAAATTCATTTTGAAATATCTAGTTCATTGAAAACATATGGTCCTTAATTTTTGTTTGGATTTTGACGATATACAAGTCTGAAATTCTAGAAAACAAAGAAAACTGCCATCCTTGAACAATACTAGAGAGAATTTTTTTTTCTTTTTATTTTTTGAGCGTCTTCTCGTTTGTCATTGGAACATAAGCTTTTCAAAGGAGCAAAACCTACTCTTACTACAACAAAAAATCTGTAGTGAGCTATACCTATTATGCAATACTATGCAAGTGAAAACAAACAAAACAGACAGAATTCAACCAAGATCAATCTAACAAACATCTGTGATCTATCCCCCATTCTAACAACAACTCCCAATTTTCCTTACTACGAGGAGCTTTAGCCCATGAGAGACAAGTCAAGTTGAACAATTTTAATCACTGCTGATTTACTAAAATTTGGAGTGAAGCCCTCTGATGGGTTATAATTTTGCTACTTATTTTGTAATTAATTTTCCCTATGACCTTACCAAATGTGGGTTAATTGTCAGATTCTATTCACTTTTGGAATTTATGCTTATTATAGGGAGTTGGAAGAAAATGTGGTGAAACTGTGGAAATTTCCCACTCCAATTGCTGTTTGGCACACTCACGTCAAATCAGACCTTAACATGTCCAAAAGATGAGGAAAAGACGAGTAACACCAACTGTCAATTGGAAGTGCAAACGTGGGGCCGCAGACATTCCATTAGCCGTTTGCTTAATTTGAATTAATAAAGGTAGTTTAGCACGAATGGGAAACATGCCAACTAGGAGATTTCCTAGCTTGATTGGTGCGGATGAAGAGCAAAGTGGAGTCAAAGTGGGGCTCTTTCCTCTAGTCTTCGTATGGCCTAATAAGACAAGGAAACAATTAGGAGAAAAAGGAGGTAGACTTAGCTTAGGAGATTGATTCCTTTCTTTGAGCCGGATGGCTGTCAGAATTAAAAAGGGAGGCAACTGAAGAAGTCCAGGACATTCTTTTTTAACTTTGTAACTTTCTTTTAGTTCGGATTCCATCAAATAAAATTTTCTCAATTGAGGAGAATGGAGGCGATAATTTTCTCTGCAATTGTGTGTGGGTTCTCCTCAACAGGGATGAACTAAATCCCTTTTTTTTTAGTTAAGGAACAACGGAGGATTTGATTCGACCTAAATTGTGAGATCTAACTGATTTGATCTTTCCTATTATTTTCTGGTATTCGTATATTTCCTGCTTTATTTTCTCATGGTTAGTGTATTATTCCATTATCCTGAGCTCGGACGTTAGATTAATTCAGTAACTTAGAGCCAATTAGAATAATTAAATCCGTAATTGTTTGATTATTCTAAATTAGTGGCAACTGGCTTAATCAAAGTTATGTCAGGGAAATATATGGGTTAATTTGTAGACAACCCTCGTAGCGTGTTGTCTGGTTAGAACAGGGTTTCTCTAAATCTTAAGGCAATTGTGAAATTTAATTCTATGGTCGTACCTAGGATTATTTTGCAATTAGGGTAATAACTAACAGTCATACCTTGGCTATCAATAATTAAGGAGAAATTGATTATCATCGCTTGTTTGACAATTATAACTTGTTTATCAGTTTATATGTGGAATATTCTTGCATCGATGATCCATTAGAAGAACCATTTCCGAAGTTGCTTCTTGACTAGAGCTGTCCAATACTATTTGAGTTTCTATAGTTTGCTATTTAATTTTTATTTAATTGTAATATTTGATTAGTATAGCTCATTGTTAGTTTTCCTAAAATCCCCCATTGTTAATTTGAACTTTAAAAGAGACAAATATCCCCAATCCCTGTGGATTCGACCCTACTTATCACTATCTACAGAAATTATATTTTATTTGAGTAGGTATTTATTATTGCACAGGCTCGACAACCTGTCAAGTTTTGGCGCCGTTGTCGGGGACTGGTGCCTGATTAATTTGTTTCTTTTTCAGTTCATCTTGTTTTCTTTCTTTTTTTTTTCTTATTTTTTTATATATAGTTTATGGCTGCTAACATTCCGTATTTTGGTGATAAACTGGATTTTATTTTTAGAAGGGGTTATAAGACTCATGTTTTTTCTAATGATCAATTGGCTGTTGAAAATTGTGAAAGTTATTTTGCTTCAAATCATTCAACCGACATATACCCCGCATTTCAAGATTGCCTAAGTACTCCAATCGATACTTTTGCAGATTTTTCACCTCAATATCAAACGTTGTATGACCCTTGTTCAAACGGGTATGATCAAGGATGGTGGGATGATTCCAATTTTAATTATGTGACCAGGCCAATAGGTTGTCAATAGCAAGAGTCTCAACAACCATCATCCATGTCAGGTATGTCTCTTAAAGAAATGATTGAATTACTAGCTACTAATACATATCGATTTCATCAGGAGACACAAACGAGCATTAGTAACCTTGCGGATCAAGTGCATCTATTGACATCCGGGATGGCGGATCAAGTGCATCTATTGACATCCAGGATAACGCAATTAGCTTCTAAGATGTGTGAAGAATTGCCCTCACAGACCAACATCGACCTTAAAGAAGATGAGAGTGCAATCATCCGGACAAATGACATGGAACTGCAAGGGTTTCAAGAAAACGGATCTAAAGATGCAGTTGAAAAGGAAGTTGACATGCAAGAAATGAGACCCCAATATCAACTTGCCCAAGTGAATGAATCCAGTGAACAATCTCCAAATGCGGTGACATCTTCTTCATTCTTTAATCAATATTCTCTTGACTCCTATTCTTCAACTCCTGTTACTGAGATTGATTTTATTATACCAGAAAATTTTAAATTTCATGACAGGAATAAGTTAAGAGTGGCGATGGCAAAATATCTTAAACCGATAAATGGGTGTGATGGAGGAGTGAGTGGAGAATTCAGATCATAGTTGACTTGTTTGGCGCCATCTACTCGTCCATGGAAGACCGTAGCTCGTGTGCTCAATGATGACTCTATTTACGAGGGCTATCAGGATTACATAAAAGATGAAACACTGAAACGAGCCACAAGATTTTATCCTTCCTGAACAAACATGACAATGTCTAGTCAAAGACATTAAAAAAATGCACTTTTTGGGAGGCAACCCAAATATTGGGAGGCAACCTATATTTTAATGATTCCAGTACATTTTCAAAATCTTCAATTAGCTTTTAAAGTATCGAAGTTCAGTTCACTAATTGGCCATAAAGACAGATCAATAGCAAAGTTGAAATATGCCAATTATCCTGAGACTTTGTAGAAAGTTTGGAATGTTAATGTTGTCCCTTGTAATCCGAATATGTGAAACTAAAGTTGTTGAAGGGTGAGATGAGTTTTTCACTTGTATACAGGCTGTTTAATGGGGTCTTCAATAAAAAGTTTATCATTTGCTCAAAAAAAAAAAAAGAAGGGTGAGTTGTGGAAGCTGAATGCTAAGCGATATAGTTCTATTAGTGATAGAATAAAACAGGTGTGTATGGCCAGTTGTGTGAAGTGCAATCGTTCTCCTTCGTTCACCTTTTGATATCTCTTTGCAATTTCAAGAACAATCAGAGTAGTTGAGTAGTTGTCTCAACTAGGAGGAGACCAGCAAGGATTCATGTTTACTTTAAGGGCCAAAGATAAGAATGAGATCTTTTGGGCTGGCCACGTGTTCTTCTTCTTCGTTATTTTTTTATTCTTCTTATAGATCTTTCAGCCGAGGAAGCAACCTTTGGGGAAATAATGTGGTATATTTGGACATTGGGATAATTTAACAAATCTCCTTTGAATTTTATAAAAATTCATCATAGTTCCCCTCAAATTATTGCATTACACTTGTGTCTATTAGCTATTGATTTCCAAGGTAAATGCTGAATTTTACCCCTTATGTTTACCATTGACACTTTCTATACAAAGCGATACAAATTATATACAAGAGATTTGTGAAAGTGTTATACTTCCTAGCTATAACTCAAACAAAGGCATTCGTAAAACCCTTTTGATTCAAATATATAGATATACTCACCTATACACTTAACAATTTAATGTATGCTAAAGTGAGTAGAATAGGGTTTTGAAAAAGTACTCAAAAGTATGCTACTTCCATCATTACCTTCTAGCACGCATTGTGCATACTCTTTTCAAATAGAAAAAAGGGAATGAAAAGGAGACACAAAAAAGGGTTACAAATTCTTTAAAATATGGCAAGGGTAAGCATGGAAGTAACATATAACATGAAACAAACATGTTAAGGAAACCTTAAAACAAGAGAGGTAACAGTAAGTTTGAAAACTTTGGTGCATGCAGCTAAATGAAGTCAAAACCCTCAAACAAGGTCGATGGATTATCCTTTGTAAACTTGATGTGTCCGTCACCAACTAAAAAATACTGTTCAAAATTCTTATTTCTATCGGAACCATTTCGAGGAACTCCAATTCGGATGTCAATACTAAAAGAAATTTTCCCTATGGTACGACTGATTTTGAAATTCACTAATTATTTATATAATTGTATCATATATGTGCTTTTATATATTGTGTAATGATTCACATCAAATTCATGAGAAATTTCGCATCCCTCTCACAAAAGTTAGCAAATGCATTGTATATAGGAAGCTGAAAACCAAACAAGACTTTATTATTAGGTTATCAGTATTATTGGTCGTATCCAAGTGTCATCATGTTTTGTTTATTCAAGTGTCATAATGTTATTGATAGTATAATTGGGTTGCATGATTATGGGTGAAAGTGTGGAATATGCGATTAAACTCCGTCTTAGGAGTACTGGTTTTGCTGTGGGATTTTTCGTTTTCTTTGTCAGCTGCATGGTGCTTTAGAGCATAAGCCTTTGTTTTGTTTCGAAACATGAACACAAAATGAAAGATGTGAGGAAACTTTAATGAAGATATGCCTTGAGATTTAGACACCAAAGACAAAAGCTCGAAAAATATTATCAACGGATCAAAATAAGAACATAATTATTGGTAAAACACTCCAACAAGTTAAGTCGAACCAAGATCAACATAATCAATTATTTGATTTCAAGAGTCATAACTTTTGCTTGTAAAGAACAAATAAAGTTAAACAATTTATTGCTTTTTCCCCCCCCCCCCAATCACGAACTTGTTTTTCCTGGGATTAAATACCCTAGCATCTGAGATTATTACCGGGATCAACACCCAACTGGTTACAATATTCAGTATAATACTCAACTCGAGCACTAACTGTGTTTGGATTTGCACCATCACATTCAAGCCCACCATTAATGGCACGAATTGTAGCTCCAAAACCCTGGCCAGAAGTGATAAGATCATGACAATGGTTCATCCAATACCACAAGGCAGTTTTGAATGAAATAACATTATCTGTGGCCACAGTTTCAGGTTGGCTGAGTCCATTGAATCCAATGCTTTCACCTGCTGGTCCATAGTTAAAGTTCCATGATATTTGTATTGGACCCCTGCCGTAATATCCCTTGCCTGGCACACATGGGTACTGAGTGTTGCTCTCATCACAGTAATCTTTGGAGGGGCCGTCTATCTCTTCTATGTAGCACAAATCTGCGCAATATAAAGAAATTTTGTCACTCAATTGAAATGATTGATAAAGGGTTAGAATCAAAGAAAATCAGGAGGTCTGGAATACTGATGAATTCAATTGGTGAGAAAAGACTTTATCCGATTCTGTAAAAATTGGATTGGACAGACTTAAAATAAACACTTTTTTTATGAGGTAAAATTTTGGAATGATTTAACATTATAGGATTATACGATAGACAAATAAAACTTGGCAATAGCAAGATTAAGAAAGGACTAACAGTGATATAAAAATTACAAAGGTTTCATGGACGTCTAAAATATATTTGGCTAATAAATTTGAACTAATTTACGGCCAAATTTAGGTGAAATAGTTAAATTCTACTCGGTAAATTGGAAGTTCGGAAATGTGTATCTGTCAGTTGTCATACTCATGAGCGAGCCAATCTTAACTTAAAAAAAAAAAAAAAGGAATCCAAAAGATAAAGCCACATGATCTACTTTTAGATGCAGCAAAATACACAACCACCTTAAGCTTAGAATGTAAAGGCACAAAAACTTGCTTCTGTAGGTATAAAAGTTACCACTACAAGAAAAGTAAAAAGAAGATGGAGATAATAATCCTTCTATCCCCTTATAAGGATTAAACCTTCATCATGATAAATTATTTGACAGTAATAAATCTTTCATATTCAAGTTTTATTTTTTGAAGAAAAAATTCTTGGATAATAGTGCACAGGATAATTTAGATTCCAAGATATACTATCTAGAAATTTACAGGAGCTACTAAAAAATAGAAAATATCTTCAAAATTTAATTTCCAAGCTAGTGTTATTCAAAACTTACGTCCAGTCTCATGAGTGACATGAGCAAAGAAAGCAGCAATCTCCCTTTTAGAATCATCAACAGAGCCAACGGTTCCAAACTGGGGATACGAGTTCAGAGCTTCAAGAAAAGCTGATCGAGTATAGAACCCTTTTCCAGCACAGCTTGAAGCAGCTTGATCAGCAATCCCATTAAAGAAAGCGTCCGTCACAATATCAGCAACTGAAACGCCACTATTACCACTGCTCGGAGCTGCGGTGCAAGGGCCGGATTGACAGCCAGAGCCACAGTAGTCGTTGCCGGTACCGCAATAGCCGAATTTGCTGCAGCACAAGTCTGGTGCACAGCCGCAGTTTTGGCTTGAAATCAGCTGTGGAAAGGCTCCTACAAGAACTACAATGGAGAAAATGATGGTTGGAAAACTCTTCATTTTTGGATTTGATAAAGGAGAGAAGCTTGCGGGCAGAAGTTGTATCAGAAAGAAGGGTATATATAGGGAAGAGAACTGAAAACCGATCGGCTTGTGTGAAGCATGCACAGCTGTTATTGTTGAAATTATTGAATTTGAGCAATAAAAGAAAACAGAAGACGAATGGTTGACTTCTATCGTGCGTATTGACTTTGACATTGTCAATGAAGCGGAAACTCTCTTTCTTGGCTTCTAGAATGGAAAAGGTCAAAAGGAAAGATTTTGGCCAATTCATATGAACAATTGTGAGAATAAGTCACGTAGACTAACAAGTCACCACTATAATGTGTGCAAAAATATAATTTGAAGTTGCCTAAATCATTTAATTTGATGCTTATTATTGTGTTTACTTGCCTAACTATGTTTTAGTAATACTTCAAAATTGTGTTTGAATTAGAACAGAAAAATACGAGACATACTTATTTATTTAATTACAATTCCAGAAATAAAATCGTATACAACATGTACTAGAATAATTTTTAGGGTCAATGATAAAGAAAAGAAATACTTCTACAAATTGACGTAAGTGGTCATCAGCTTTTCGAGAAGTTCAGAAAGAATAAAGTGGCGGATATATATATATATATATATCATGCATGGCAAACTATGTGGCTTTTGTTAGTACACGTTATGACTATATGTATGTTTCATTTGACATGTTTGTTGGACGTTTGTCAAAAAAAAAAAAATTAATTTTGACATGTTTGTTGGACGTGAATTGTTAGCAATGAAATGCTCCAAAATGTTTTCATGCAAGATTTCAGCACTATAGTTTATAACCAGTATTAGGTCATAGTGAATTATCGACATATCGTCACATGCAGAGTCTTTGCCTATAATTAATTAGTTGGTTAAATGACAATTTCTAGAATGGAGCTTCATGGCTGACCATGTCAAGAAACATCTCGCAGTAAATTGGGCGAGTTAATATGATCCTCTTGTTTTATACAGGATGTACTTTTCTTTTTCTAAATATTTCCCCTTAAACTCTCAAATTGACCATAGTGTTAACTAATTTTGCTCTGGTTTTATTCTTGGTTTGCAAAATTCAGAAAAACCAAAACAAACCCTTGTTACTGAAGATATCAAAATGGTACCCCTACTAAGTTATTGATTTCGAAAAACGTTCTAAACCAAATTTCAAGTTTTAGTTTCTTTGCTCTTTTTCTACTGAAAGGCAACTTCCCCGGGCCAAGAAATTGAAACAAATAGTATGATGCTTAAGTTTTCTCTGCTCTTATGATCAATTACATCAAAAATTACGGGCAATTTCGGCATTATTTGGGAGGAGGAGGAATATTAAGAAAAAAAAGTTCTTTTAAGAAAACGATGAAGCATATTATTTTCCAGTAATAAAAAAGAAGGAGCAGAAAAATACATTAGTTCGGATGACATTAGAACATTTAGCAATAGGATTAGGGATGCAATGGGATGAGTGCCAACTGGGAATCAACAGGACGGGAAAAAATGCTGGGCGGGGTGGGGGGATTGGAGAATTTTTCTCCGCCAACTTTAACGGATGCCGCCATCCCATCCCCTAAACCCCTTGTTGCTATTCCTAAACAGGATGTTACTTATATCCTCCCTCTATGAGCATGTGTGTATGGTGACGAATGCAGGATTTTGATTTTGGCAGGGGGAGGGGGAGGGTGGGGCAAACTGACAATCAAGAAACAATTAAAAAAATTAGCAAATTGTTAATGTAAATAATATTAGCATTAATTAGGATCACAAATTAGGATATTATCTTGTATTAATTAGCATCAATTAGGATCAATTAGGATCACAATTAGGGACTTACCTTGCATAATATTAGTCTAGATTCATCATGTATGTCTATAGGGACTTACCTTGCATAATATTAGGATCACAATTAGGGACTTACCTTGCACTATATTGTTGTAGAAATTATGGATTCAATAAACTTTTCTCTCCCAAATATTTCTTTCAACATGGTATCAAGAGCTTGTTGATTAATCTCTCAAAAAAAAAATTCGTTTTCATATTCCTTCAATTTTTTTTAGCATCGACATCATCCACGTGCTAGTTTGGTGAAGTGTTGCTTGTTCCATCCGGCCCCATTTGATTGTTCAATCAAGATTCGTTTGTTGCCTCAATCAATATAATCCACGCATATCTCCATGTGCTAGTACCAATTGGCGTGCTGCTTCATACGCTACACCGGCCTTTCACTTCGGCATTTCATAGTACCAACACTAGTTGTGGCGTTTTTTTTAGAAAAATGTGTTGAGAATGATCAGCCCACACTAGTAGTAATATTAAACAAAATTTTTTCGTGTCCACTGGTTTACTGTGGCTTAATTATTAAATGTTTGTCACTTCAATTTCAGAATATGATGTCGAAGACTTTCTCGTTTAGACAAGAGAGTTTAAAATAATTGTTGAAGTTGAAAATATATAAATATGATTCCTTAAGCTCAGCCTTGAGTGATGATGTCATGGCGTCCGAATATATTTTCATTTTCACACCCCAGTGTAGTGTTTCTTTTCTGTGGTCAATTATGTGATGCTAAGTTTTGAAAAGCAATCAACTGTTTTACTTATCAAAGTAACCCAATTTTGCCTCGGAACCAGCAATAATGTTTTCTTGACTACGGAAGGAACAGCGAAATCAATATATATATATATATATATATATATAGCTGTCTAATGACTTGAAATTTGTCCCGAATGAGTTGGATGTTTACTGCTGAGCAAAAGAGATACATAGTCAATGGTATTTGCCACTGTTTTTAGTTTTGTTTTTTCTCTTTTACAAAAATATAGGAGTAAAGAATAATTGCACTTTCGTGCAACTAATGTTTCGTTTGTGTTCTATATTGCTTTTTAGTTCCAATCTCTTTGAAAAGACTGAATGCATTTTCTTTTGAAGTAGTGTGGAAACTATAATCCGTTTGGATTAGCCATTTTTTCAAATACAATGCTACAATAATACACAATAACTTAAAAAAATATCTCATCCATATAATATATCAAATGTTTTAAAAAAATTTTATAGTAAAAATTTTTCATATACACTGCTACAGTAAAATTTTTCAAAAACACCTTCAAAAACAGCTAATCCAAATAGAGCATAAGCATTCTACAATTGATTGGACATTTTGTGACTAAAAAAGTTTGGAATATATATATATATATACATGATATTTTGTAATAGAATGTGCACAAAGTGATGTGATTATTGATTACTTGTTACTTCGCTGCTTCCATTTTAACATGGTATATAACATATATTTTTTGGTAGAATATTAACTTTTTATGTATTAGATTAACAAATAAGAATCAACATGTTATGCATTTAAATAAAGATTAATTTTAATATATTGACAGTGTATGCACTATCAAATTTGGATAGATGTCATGTGTATAAAACTTGATTTTCAAACTTAAATTAAGATCAGCTGTTATGCATTCAAACCTGATATTCATTCTATCAATAGTGACAAGGTTGCTTCCATAATTTTTTAGTTTGTGTCATATAATTTTGTAATTTGTTATGATAGATATAAATACAGAAATTCTAAAATTAAGGAGATGGGCTATCATTTAATTTGTGTTTATCGTACAAGTCTTATGTTGCTTAGAATAAGATTTTTCATTTCTTTCCCTCTAGATACAACCTTATTTAATCTCGTATATAGCAAAGCTTCTTTAACATGAAGGTGACACTTAGCGCGACCGAATTTCAGATGCCTGATAATTTCAGATACAACAAAGCTGTCTGTTATGGATCGAACTAAATGAATTGAAAGATATCTGAGGTAGGGAGGGGAAGGAGAGGGAAGGAATTGAGAATGAGATCAGAAATAAGGAAGAGGGAATAGAGAGGGAGAGGAAAGGATTGAATTGATTAGGAAAGAAACTTGGAACAACGTATTACATACCCTGCCTGCAAATGCAGATGAATTACTTATACAAATCTTAGCTTTGAGCTCAAGAAAACAGCCTGCTAGTAACTAACTACTTTTCCCGCCAAATAACTATTCTTCATTCTGTTATGTCAATTGCTAAGCCACGTGACTCTCTTCATGCTATCACATTTCTGGTGCTACTCCCTTGCTGACTCATCCCAGTCATTTGTGCATGACAATTTGGACTGATTCCAGGCCATAACAATACCTCCCCCTAAAACAATCCTAGTCTCTAGGATTGATTGATTTGGAAAGAAGGAATTTGAGCATGAATGAACGTCCAATCCTCCCAAGTGGCTTCCTCAGGTTCCATGTTTTCCCACTGCACCAATACTTGCTCAACTTCTTGACCCTTCCTATAGATAGTCCTTCTATCCAATACTACTGAGGGGGTGACCTCAAATTCACTATCTGCGTTCAAGGTAGGCAAGGTAGTGTTGACTGGAGCCTCCTTTGGTGACTTCTTGAGCAATGAAACATGAAAAACAGGGTGTATGGTGGATCCTGCAGATAGCTTCAGCTTGTATGCTACAGTCCCCACCTTTTGTTCCACCTGATAGGGCCCGTAGTACTTAGCAGTCAGTTTCAAATTCCTCCTTACGGCTACTGAGGTTTGTCTGTAAGGTTGGAGCTTCAAATAAGCCCAGTCTCCCACTATAAACTCCCTGTCACTCCTCCCTTTATCAGCCATTTGCTTCATTCTGTTCTGAGCTTTAAACAAGTTCTCTTTGAGCAAGGAATTCCAGCCTACTCTTTCCTGTGCCCAATCCTCCACAGCAGCTACTATTGTTTTATCAGGCCTCAGGTTCAGTTGTATAGGTTTGTAACCATATAAGGCCTGGAAAGGGGACATTTGTAGACTGCTATGGTGGTTAGTGTTATACCACCATTCTGCTGCAGGAAGCCATTTCCTCCACTTCCCTGGTTGATACATACACACACTCCTCAGGTAGTTTTCTACACATCTATTAACCCTCTCAGTCTGGCCATCAGACTGAGGGTGATATGCAGAAGAGAGATTTAGCTCGGTGCCAAGCATTTTGAAGAGTTCCTGCCAGA